GGCCTCGTTATTAGCCATATCCGGGAACCTTATGGACTGGCAAATTACTTCGTCGATGGGGACCTCGAGTACGAGTCCTAGTCCATACCTTGATGCATTAGATGCACCATCAGTGTATAGGACCCTGAGGTCTCGTATTTGGAAGAAGTCTAGATGGCTTCCTTTTCGACTTTAGGAAATATAGGTGCAATAAAGTCAACGACGAAGTCGGCAAGCACTGATGACTTTATCGTTGTTCGTGGCTGGTATGTGATATCGTGCTCACTTAGCTCGATGTCCTACTTAGCCAGCCTCCCCAATAGCTCAGGTTTATGCAAAATGCTCCTCATGGGGAAAAGTTGTAATGACCGAGATGGGGTGGCACTAGAAATAAGGTTTGAGCTTTCGTGAAGCTACGACCAATGCCAGAGCAAATTTTTCGAGGTACGGGTACCTCGTCTCATCGTCGATGAGTGTTCTGCTAATATAATAGATGGGATATACCTTTTTTCGCGGATCAGGACTGCACTTACCACTACTTCGGAGACATCTAGATAGACGATGAGCTGCTTCACAGCTTCGGGTTTTGAAAGCAGGGGTGGTGATGATAGATATGACTTCAGTTCTCGTAGAGCCTGGACGCACTCGGGAGTTCATTCAAGGCCACTGTCCTTTTTGAGTACGCCAAAAAATTTGTGACATCTGTTAGACGATCGTGAGATGAATCTTGATAGAGCGGCGATTTAACTAGTCAACCTTTGGACTTGCTTCTTGGTAGTCAAGAGTTCTAGTATCCCCTCGATAGCTTTGATTTGGTTAGGTTGACCTTGATTCCCCGTTGTGACACAAAAAAAACCCTAGAACTTTCTCGAGGCTACACCAAACGTGCACTTCTCCGCGTTCAATTTCATTCCGTACCATCTTAGTATGTCAAAGGCTTTATTTAAATGATCGATGTGATCCTTTGCCTTTATGGATTTGACCAACATGTCGTCTATATATACTTTCATGGTCCTGTCGAGTTGGTCTTTGTACATTTTCGTGACTAATCTTTGATATGTATCCCCCGTATTTTTTAGCCCAAATGGCATGACCCTACAACAATATGTTCCTTGGTGGGTGATGAACATGGTTTCCTCCTGGTCTTCTTCCGCCATAAGTATTTGGTTGTAGCTTGAGTATACGTCCAAGAAACTCAATAGCTCGTGCCCGCCTGTTGCGTCGATGAGGGGAATGGGAACTAATCCTTCGGATATGCTTTGTTCAAGTCTGTGAAATCCACGTACATCCGCCATTTTTCATTTTTCTTTTTGACCATCACTACATTGGCAATCTACTTAGGGTACTTTGACTCCTTGATGGAGCCGTTCTCTANGCAAACAAATCTGCATTAGTTATTAAAAATTGATAGAATTTACTTGGTTCCCGAAGTTTGTTGTCGATGTAGGCCTTTTTGCTATGGTCGTTGAGGTCCAATTGAATGGGGTCGAGGTCTTCTATGGTCGAGTCCGTAGCTTCGACTGCTTCGGGATCCATAATGGCATCCCTAATCTCTCAGTTGCTCCTCTCCATGTCGCTTAACAACTCTTTGAGGTGTCCTTGCCGCAACATGTTTACGACTTCTTGACTGAGGGTGATGCAATCTTCTGTATTGTGCTCGCGTTCCTGGTGGAACTCATAGAGGGCGTTAGACTTTCTGGTGTTCAGGTCGGACCTCATATTTGGCGGCCACTTTACCTTTGTTCCAAGCTTTTCCGGAGCATAGACCATCTCTGTAGGTGACATGCAAAAATTGTGAGCAGATAATAAGGGAGCATCCGTGGCGACCTAGGGATATTTTACCGGTATCATTTTATTTTATATTCTAGAAATAGATTTTGACTCATACATGTACTAGCGAAGAATTTGTTGACTTCTTCATGGTCTATTTCACTATATATTGGGATGTCTAGCAAGCAAATTGCGACTGTTTTAATTTGGTCAATGTTAGAAATGTTCCTCGAGCGTAACAAAATATGGAAGAGGTTCAAAGAACGTTTCCCTTTCTAAAACCAACAAAACCTGCATAAAGAAAATGAATTTATTAGAAAAAAAATCTATTTTTCAATTTCATCCCTCTATTCCTAATTATTTTATAAGACCAAAAAATAAACATCACTTTCAACGCGCTATGAGTAAACAAAAGGCACAATGATTGTTTCTCTTCTAACTCGCACAAAGAAAGACACACATGCAATCATGTAGGACAAACTTTAGATGTTATGTTTGTTATCAACACCTAGTTTTTTTATTAAATAAAAGGGAGGAAAACGAAAAGGTCATTGGCATGACATATGTTTCATAATAAACTGTTTTGACAATAATGACATGCGAGCAAACAGTTGTCACTTTCACGAACACATTGCATGGATTCGATTTTGACATATTGTTTATACGACTTGATTACAACTTTACAAGTTCACGATATGCAAAATATAATTTATTCAAAGATGCTAAAAATCAAATATATTTTATATTATATAGTATGAAACAATTTTAAAATATTTTATATTTTTTTTACTATATTGTCTTCTATATTCTAGTTTTAAGTACCAAGAGATGAGATTATGCGTGTTAAGACTTTCGCTTTTGATTTATATTCGAAAATTTTAGAAATAATACGACATGTTTCAGTTATTCCAACATTGTTTTTAAAATTGATCGAAAGCATTATTCGAATTTAAACTTGTATGATATAAAATAGTCGTATGTGGTGATGTACAGAAATTGTGTTGTAGTAATGTATGTACTGCATTTAGAGTACATATTATTTTAAGATGTTTGATGAACAATTTATTTCTGTAAAAAATATTCTAACTGTTTCAATTTATGCCTCATTGTTTGATTGCACATGGAATTTCTAAAATAAAAAATAATTTTCTTTTAAACATGTAGTATTAAATATGTCATAAAATTAATGTAACAAACATGTCACAAGGGCAAAAATAATTAGGTCAAAGTTAAATTGTTCCAAATATATCAAAGTTCCCGGCCCTCTTCATCAGTATCATAGCCAGATAATTAAAGCATTAGTGGGAAGATTTTTTATTAGATCTGCCATGGGTGGGGCGATGAAAAAAGTTTAGATCTAAGCTTGCTCATATTTACTTCACACAAACCCAGACTAAGAAGCTTAAAAAGGACATCCCAGGGTGTACTAAGCTCTCGCTATGCTTGGGGTCCAGGGAAGGACTGGATCAAAAAAGTATATTGTACGCAGCCTTAACCTACATTTTTGTAAAAGATTTTTTTTTTTAACGGCTCGAACCCGTCTCTTGATCATATGGCAACAACGTACTTTAACAGTTACGTCAAGGTTCCCATTCTGGCTAAGAAGCTTGAAAGCCATAAAATCCGATTAAAATAATAATAAAAAATGACTGGAAAAGCTTGAATGGATTCTTTTTGGAACGAAACTTACATAAAGTACAAAGTTTTAATTAATTCTCCCCATCTTTTCTAAGATTCGAACACGTGTCGACATAATAGTAAATGGTGCTTTCTGAAAAGTCAATAGAAGACTGGTGTTCGATTCGAATCTGGCAATCTTCGGGTGTAGCTATAAAAGAATCTGAATTTCTGTGACAATTGGTCAATTTTTACAGCTTCTATTTTGCTGCCGAAGCCAAAAGAGGAAATTTCCTCTTCGCAAGTAAGTGACGTACATTCTTTTTCTTTACTTCACGCTTACATTTAAAAAATAGCATTAAGGATAGTTGATTGACGTATTTATAAACTGTATCCTTGATTTGATATCTGACTGAATAGTGAATTATATTATTTGCTTTAAGAAATTTCTGCATCTTTGATTAGTATGGCATGTTTTGTTACTTTTTTTCTATTATGACTACAAGAAATTCTTGTGGTCCGGTCCTTCCTCGGATCCCGCGCATAGAGGGAGCTTAGTGCACCGGCTTGTTCTTTTCTTGATTATGATTTTCATGGTCATTTTTCAGGCTCGACTCTTGTGTTTAGTACTCTCTGCCTAAGAAAACTTGAATTAATTGGACTATCAGGAGTTTGCAAAGAAGTTCACTGTTAGTATTGGCTAAGGTACAGTTAATCTTGTTTAATGTGTGAGTTATTTATATGCAATCTTGGAAAATCTGTGTTACTTGCATCTTTAGTGCAGTAATCAAGGTTAAATACATGGATTAGTTATCTAATGTTAACTTAATTTTTATTTATGGGGGTTAGCATAATTTGACATGAAGTTATTATTTGTTCATAGTTACAAAGCAACAGAGAACGAAAATATAAAAAAAAATGCTGTTGAAATACACACACAGAGCCTCTCACTTGCTGTTAGAAGTAATATCTGAAGGAAAATTCAGTAAAAGAAATCAAATGCTCTAAACTTACACTGTATATTCTCATCTTTGCTGTTATTACCTATTTTGGGCTCCATACTTTCCTGTTGCTGAGGCTATTCAATCATAGATTATCGTTCTTTCGTGGAAACACAGGTTCTATACTATTATTGGTCTATATTATTCATAAATTAATGATTCTAAAAGGGGCAGTAATTTGAGCCCTAACCTATTCAACCTGTCCAAGATTGGGCTGCTCATTGACACCGCCTATAGTTGAAGTTAGCCCATATTGACCCAACCCATCTTAGCTCATCTAATGTCGGGCTGATTTTTACCCAAACTGATCCATAAACAACTTTGCTAATATATCTTTAAAATAGTTTTTTTTTGGTCTAATCTGTTATATGTGGCCTTAACAAAAGAAAAAAGTCTTATTTGGTAACTAAACAATTCATAAGAAAACAATACACATTAATTAAAGCTTGGTAAGAGTTGGCGGGTTAGGTTATGATCCAAATTTTAGTGACCCAGTCCATCTCAAGCCAAATAATTTTTGGACGGGTCATTAACACACTCATTTATTGATTCAACCCATTTTGACCGGGCCCAAAATAAGCCAAACCGCCGATTGACAGCCATAATTCTGAACCATGATATAGGGTTCGAGCGGATGTAATGTTACTGTATAATGAAAGAAAGAACTAAGCAAGATGGATTCTATGAAAATTGACGTTTAAAAGATATAATGCGTGTTCTGAAGTTATATCTTCAGTACAATAGCGTTTGTCTAACACTAGAAACACTTAAGCTGAGCAAATGCAGCATCACATCCAACATGTTGATATGATCAAAACTTTTTATTTGTGATGGTTTCAACTGAATCATCACACTTGAAAAAACACTGAACAAGAGAAAATACCATATCTCTGGCTAGCTATTTGAACCCATAGACAGTGAATCCTCCGTCAACGGCTATAACCTGGCCAGTGACGTAGGAAGCGCCAGAAAGACAAAGATAAGCCACCACGGATGAAGCTTCTTCAACTTCGCCTGGACGCCTAAGAGGCATTCTTGCTATTAACTCATCCAAAAATGGTTTATCTTTGAGCACCTGTGATGAATATAAAGCCATCAAATTCATCATTGATTTAATAGTATACTCTAGTGATAAGTTAGATAGTAGTAACAGTTTTTTAATGACAAAGTATTTGCAATCTTCTCGGAATTTTGACATGCACCAAACCCAACTTAGAAGAATTGTTAAATGATTATACGTTAAGTTTCAATTTCAGTAGCAACTCCCTGCTTGGATGTGGGTATGACTTTCTGTTAGCATCAAAGTATATTTTACTCCGGCAGACATTGATTTTAATGTATGTACATATATTTACTTAGTTCGGACTGAATGCAATGACTGTTGAAATATGATCAACATGGTATCAGAGCAGGCAGAGGCCTGGGTTCGAGTCAGAATTAAGTCCACGTGCTTGGCTCATCAAAAAAGAATCAAGCCCGCATGTGAGGGGTGTGTTGAAGACATAATTAAGTAAATAAAAGTATTTTCTCTCTAACAGCTTACGCTTTTGGATGAGATGGTCACATATTTCAACAAAGAGTTTCTTGAACCCTCATAACTCTCCTTAGATCTGATGTAAAAAGACTCATACAATCAGACATAGAAGCAACAGGAGGAGAATATTACATTTTTCACGAGTGGTGTCTTTGTGTACCATGGCGCAACGGCATTAACCCGAATACCATCTTCTCCCCATTCACAAGCCAAATTTCGTGTAAGCTGAATCATCCCAGCTGCCATCATCAGTCAAATAGTAGTAAGAATAAAGAGCTAATCATTTGGCACATTATTTCCCATTGTTCAATGATTCAAAGGAAGATGGTATGTGTACAGAGTAATAAAGTAATCAATCCGTTAGCAAAGATCATAATACTCGTTAGTGTGCGACCCCATAGGTTCAATACTAAACCGGTAATAAATTGACCACATCAATATACTAATCAAGGGTGGCGTCTAGCAGCACTCCTTAACGACCGGATAGCATGAAGTATACAATTTACTCTCAAGAACCAGTAGAAGAATAATGTAGTAATTCCTTCTGTCCTTATAGCTCTGGATCACCCTAGGATATGGTTCAACTGTCAAATCCTAATAGGCGACCAACTATGTGTACATGTCAAATATAATCGACCATTGAATGACCTGAGAAACTCTTTTCTTCTTTCATTCAATTGCCCTGGCCAAGGTCTTAATTTGGTCATTTATAATTCATGACAACATAAAGCTTAAACTCATTACCAAGCACCATCATATGGGAATAATCTTCTGCTGTATATTCGATAGATGGCTTCCAAATATTTGTTCCAACATTATTTATCTACAGTAAAAAGATATGGTAACGACTTAGTCAAAACTAAAAAGTTCTATACTGTCTGAAAATTGAATGTTGCTTTTGTAACCAGCACATCTAAGGCAATGTAAGAATTCCAGTGTTAGATCTCTTCATTTCACTCTTCTCCAAGAAACTAAAGCAGCTTTTTCAATTTCCCCTTAATCCTCCAACATGCTCAAGAATCAGGAGTCGTTTGCCCGCCTAGAAGAGCAACTCGGATTGGTGTTTTTATTGATATTGAATCTTTCTATGAAGACAACAATTACTACGCTCAATCCAAGTAAGTTAGGCCGATCTGCTTAATGAATCATAGGCGGATTCAGGATTTGACCAGGTTCATATTCGAAATTCTACCACATTCCATTTGATGTACCAGGTTTGAAATCTACTGTTTTGTAACTTCTTTTGTGGAGTTTTTTTAAACATGAAGGTCTAAGACAAAGCTACGAGGTTCAAATGGACCCATAGCTTATTCACTAGATCCGTCCTTGACATGTTTCCTCAGTAACAGGTGCCGATCACTGCTTCGGCAACGGATTCATCTAAACCGGATATTCTCGACATGTGCATAAATTTATTAAACCACTACAAATATCAATAAATACTAGATCTGAGTTCATAATTTTAAATGTACAATGAGTTCGACCTTTAAGGTTAAGGTCGAACTCATCAAGTTAAAATACTGAATTTGTCAACATTAGCCAATAGATTGTAAAAATATATGCGTTTTTGTGTNATACACTTTAGCACCAAGTCCAGCTAGCTCCTCTACTACTGCATGTCTGTAAAAAAAATTACACTAAGTGACAATATAATGAATTTTTACGAAAGAAAATTAATATCTTCGCCCAATTCCAGAAGTGCCGCGTGACAAGAGCGGCCAAACCATTAAGAGACCATCTGGAACTTTTGGCAAACGCTGCAACCTTCGCCATTGAGTTCTTTCTTAGCTTTAGTCCGGCTGTTCCATTTATTTGGTCTTATTTGATTGAATATGACGTTTAAAAAGTTATACATAATATGTGATGTGATTATAAATAATCTCATTGAGAGATAAATATAATATAAATGTATTATTATTATTTTTGGATAAATTGAAAGAAAAGTTCAATAATGTTGTGACTATATTTTTCATTAGAAATAGCCGTGTTACCTTCACAAGTTAGGAATAAGATTACATACCACTATATTTTTCAGATTTTATTTGTAAAATTATATTAAATTTATTGTTGTTATCATAAATTAAAAGAAAAAATGTGTCACGTAAACTAAGACCGATAAAATAGTTAAGAGAGTACTTATCTTGTTTGCCACTAAATTTTAGTATAGTAGTACGAGAATCTTTTGTATTTTCAGATCTTTGCAAACTCCAAGAGGCACATTTTGGAGTATTATGTTAGGTGGACCAAAACCACAGAAGGGACAATGTAATCCACCCTATCTTCCATATCTTAAAATTTAGGATTTTTATTGTACCATACATGAAACCTTATTACCCTCAATATTTAAGGGTTGTGTTTATTACATTTCAGCATACCAAATTATCATTTATATACCATAATTAATTTAGAGGTATAATTAATTGGCAGTTTCTTACTCCTTAATTAAAAGTGTCCATATATCCCACGTTTCTCTTTCCCCTTAATTACTAAGATCTGACCAACCCGTTTTCCCCCTCCCATTTCTTTCTCTTCTCGGTTTCTATTTCTCATTTCTTTCTTATTCTACTCTGTTTTGCTTTTTAATTCATTTTTATAAACATAAAAAAGTACTAAATAATTTGTTGGCGAGGTGATGAATCTCATTTTACCTAGTAATTCATGTAATAATTGCTAAAATTGTAGTAGCTAAATGACGTTATTTTGCCAGCATAAGTTGACGAAAGCTGTGTTGATTTGATAGCTGTACACAGTACACTTGTGGGTGGTTCTTTAATTACCGGAAAAAAATATCGAAGAGTACATGGTCAGCACCACCGTCGCTGCTCCTTTTTACCATCGCTATTGGAGATTTCAGAAGGTGTGTTGCTTGTGGTAGACTTGTAGGTAGTCGTCCGATTGCCAGAAAAGTTACCGGAGTCGGAAAAGTTCAATGTACCAATCCAATAAACGGTGACGATTTTTGTAGATGAAGAGCAAATTTTGTTGTCAATATTTTTTTTCACATAAGATTGTAGTTTAATTGTAGTATAAATGTAGTAATTTTGTAGAAATTGTAGATAAATTGTAGAAAAATTAGGAAAATTGTAGATAAATTGTAGACTGTTTTTTGCAGAAGATTTTGTAGAAGCTTTAGTCGTTTTGGATTTGTGAAAACATGAAACAATGCATCTACAATCAGAATACAAATAATCTACAATTTATCTACAAGATATCTACAAACTGGATACATTGAATTTTAATATCCCAATTCCCATTTCAATTGTAGCATAATTGGCATTTTCGACATAATTGTAGAAGATTTGTAGAAGTTTTAGTCTTCCCAATCTACAATTTATCTACAATTGATCTACAATTCTACAATTTATCTACAATTTTTGGAAATATGTCTTCTTCTTCTTCTACTTCTTCTTCTTCTTCGAGTTTCAATCTGAAATTCAGTCAAAACCAAGTCTAATCTTCACCAAAACCCCTCAAAATTGAGATATAAACTCCTAAACATATTCCGAATTATTTACAACAACACTCAATCCAAACAAATAATGATTTTTGAAAACCCAAATTTGAATTCAAAGCTTTCAAGCTTTTTAATGGCTATCAATGGTGGAAAATATATGGAAGAACAGATTTTTTCAACTTTGAGTTGTTGAAACTCGAAAATTTGAATTGTTCGTTCTTTTTTTTTCGAGAATTTGAATTGTAGTTCTGGAGAAAAATACGCAAATGAGAAATCTCCTTTCCCTTTTTAAAAATTGAATTTAATGTAGAATCAATTAACACCAAGATTCTCTCCTTAATTTTAGCGCGTTTTTAGGGAATATTTTGCCATTTTAATGCCTAATAGTCGAATGGTATATAAATTGTAGTTAAAGTGTGGATTGGGCGGGTAATTAACAAACTATGCACATTTAGGGTAATAAGGTTTCATATATGGTATAGTTAGAAAAAAATCCCTAAAATTTAATTCTGACGTGATAAAAGCGGCTTAAGTTTTTTAAAATGATACTCCCGACTATCCAAAATAAGTGATTTTTCTGATTTCAAGAATGAATTAATTATTTTTTTTCCTATATTGCCCTTGGAGTAAATAGTGTTGGAGTATGTGTTCGGAATATTTATGTAAAGAAATAGTAAAGGTTAATATGGTCAATTTCATTGCTAATTAATGTTAAAAGGTGAGTTTCTTAATCTATGTGAAAACAACTAGAAAATCACTTATTTTGGACCGGAGGGAGTACTCCCTCCATTTCATATTAGATGAGGTATTTTTACTTGGCATGAAATTTAAGAAAAAAGAAGAAGACTTTTGAAACTTGTGGTCTTAAAAGCTTAAGGGGTAAAAGGTTTGTGAGGTCATGACGTTTGTGTGGCTATAAAAGCTTCTCATTAAAGGTAAATATGTAAAATGAAAAGTTTGAAGTTTGAATTATTTCTAAATTTAGAAATGTATCATTTGTTTTAAAACAAACAAAAAGGAAAAGTACCTTATCTAATATAAAACAGAGGGAATAGCTATTACTAATTATTCTGCTTTTCTTTTTATGTTATGTTATTATATTGATCAGTTTATATTTGGAAACTCCATAAACCATGCTTGGAGTGTTGTATTATGTAGACCTGAATAACGGAAAGGGGACAATATAATACCCATTAATGTTTTTATATTTAAAAACTCACTCATTTTAAAGCTAGAATTTTAATTTAACAAAAATATACTATTTGAGCAAAAGCAATTATGTTCTACCGAACCCAATACCTGAACTTCTACCTCCGCCCCTATTTTAAAATTCTCATTTATCTTTAACGGAATGCCCTTGTAAACATAGATATGTGGCACGTTCAAAAGCACAGCTTTGCTAGAAAAGTCTATCTTTCTTTCTTAAAACCAATTCCAACGATAGCGAGATTGTAATAAAATTCTAACTAGACCCCGATTGCTTTCTTGAAATTAATTGATAGGCACTTAATTTCTATGAACAAGCGGACGATATGCAACATCAATCAAGGTAAAACGGTCTGCGCTATAATGCACAAAAGCCCTCCTTAATATTTAACAAATTGAAATGATCACAAGTTTTATTCTTAATGCTTTCAACTGGAATTAACACACTTGAGAAATTAAACACATAACATGAGCAAATACAGCATTATTACAAAGGTACTAAGGTAGAAACTCTGCCACCATTAATTTTCAACAAGAACTAATTAAAATTCTGGCCGTTGGAATTGGAAACCACAGATAGTGAAGCCTCCGTCAACAACAATAACCTGTCCAGTGATGTAGGAAGCAGCAGGAAGACACAGATAAGCCACTAGAGATGAAACTTCTTCAACTTCTCCTGGTCGTTTAAGAGGAGTTCTTGACATTAATCCGTCTAAAAATGTTTTATCCTTGACCAACTGTTAATAAAGCCATCAAATTCATCATTTTGATTCAAAATCAGGTTATCATGCATTTTATTATTTAACTTTTATACACCCACCGTTTGAAAAATAATACTATTAGATCACTTGAAAGGTAATTACACGAATAACTTTTTGAATTAGTAACCTTCAAAATAAGTCAACTAATCTTCTTAAAAAAAAAAGGCAGCTCGGTGTAAAAAGTATCCTGCATTCACGTAGGGTCCGCAGAAGTCTGCATCCTAAGGGGATGTGATGTAGGCTGTCTATCCTGATGCACAGAGGCGGATCTAGGATTTCTTGAACATGGGTGCACCATTAAAAAAGTAGGGGGGGAAAAGTATTAAGTGAAAATTGATCGCTATTACTCTGGGTGAATAACCCAATACTCAACCAAGTGTACCATTCAGTCTTTTTGGAGCATGGGTTCCAACACATAATATTAGACAAATTCTAGAAAATACGTACATAAAATATCTAGTTTGACGGAAAGACCATGGGTTCACGTGCCCCCTGATTTGGGCTATACATCCGCCCCTGCTGATGCAAGCATCAATTAATGATTCCACTGCTCGAACTTGCGACCTATGGGTCACACGGACACAACTTTAACGTCGCTCCAAGACTCTCCTCCTGTAACGTGTTAAATTGGAGAGATGGTATAAAAGTTTCATTACACTGGTAACGGATATAAGTTTAAAACTTCTTACGGAGACAATATACAAGTTTTTGCACCATCAGTTCACGATAGCCTTATAATAACAGGAAACTGTCTATAGTAATCTTAAAAGTTGGTTCAACCAGTTTTTAATTTTAAAATTATCAAAATATTCTCTTAATTTAACAAAGTAAAAAGGAAGTTAATAACCTGTCACGATTGGCTAAAATACATGGAAATGTATAAGAAAATTATATAGTGATCGATGTATATAAGTTAAATCCATAGTAAAATGCAGGAGCGTTGAAGCAAGACGAGAGAATATTACATGTTCCACGAGTGGCGTATTTATGAACCAGGGCACAACGCCATTAACCCGAATACCATCTTTAGCCCATTCACAAGCCAAATGTCTCGTAAGCTGATTCATTGCCGCTGCAATCAGTTAATAAGAAGAAACAAAGTTATATTCTTTAGTACGACATTGATTTGTTCAGTGTTTTAAAGGATAGAAATGAGTGTATGTCACCTTTTGTTGGTCTGTAAATAGAAGTACCGGACACGTGCACAAGACTGGACGCAGAAGAATTGAAAACAATAATTCCAGCTCCAGATGCTTTCAGAAGAGGATGAGCAATTTGACAGAGATGGAATGAAGATTCATAATTTGTAGCAAATATGTGTGCATAATCTTCGGTGGTATATTCGACAGTAATGCTTGTTCCAACATTATTAATCTACAGCAAGAAGATAAACTTGGTTGAAAATTAAAGAGTTACAATACTTTAACCAACAATATAATTAACACTTAGGATATAGTTCTCACAAGAATGTTGAGTTTTCCATCGAATGCAGAGGAAGCCTTTTCCATGCGCAAGTTCCTCTACAACTGCACGCCTAAAGAATAACACACAGTCGCCATATATTTTCCGGTGTTTGATTGGTGAGTGATTTGTTTTAAAGTACATATATGTACAGCAATAACAACGAATCCAACAAGTGGGGTCAGAAGAAGGTAGTGAGTACACAACTTTATCACTACCTTTAAGCAAGTAGAGAGGTTGTTTTCAATAGATTATCGGCTCAAAACTAACATGTATAATCACAATAGTATAGATGAAGACATGAAATAGTGTAGAATTCATAAAGAGAAGCAGTAGCAACAACAAGATAACAGTAAAAAGGAATTATAAACAATATCAGGTAGTAATAGAAATCTAAGAATATAGAAATACGTAATAATACTACCAATATTGGTATGAAAGGAAAGACGCTCGACTGCTAGCTAACTTTCTACCCTAATTCTCGACCTCCACACCCTCTTATTAAAGGTCATGTCCTCATTAAGCTTGAAGATATGTCATGTTTTGCCTAATCACCTTATTTCCAATACTTTTTCGGCCTAGCTCTACCTCTTCTCATACTCACAATTGTTAATCTCTCACACCTCTTCACTGGAGAATTCAGGCATCGCTTTTATTAATGATATTGTCTAATTAGTGTTAGTTGGAACAACTAATAAGAAGTTAAAAGTTCCCTGCGTAAGTGAGGTAAGTCCTTTGTCATTTCTCCTTTCAAAAGAAAAATCTGGTAATTAAACATCAACAAAATGACTTTATAAAAAAAATATTTGCTTGAAACATGACTTCCATCAATACCAAACACTACAGTAAAAGAAAATTTAAAATATAACTCACCCAATTCCAGAAGTGCCACCAGTGATCGACAAGAGCAGTCAAACCAGTAAGAGACCATCTCTTGGCAAATCCTTCAATCTTCGCCATTGAGTAATTTCTTTGCTGCAAGATAATATTGTTCAAGAAAGTTTTTGAGGTATATATATAACCATTTTCAATAAAGAATTAGAGTATTTACTATTTTTATCTCTAACATCGTTAGTTCCCTAATAAATGTTGCTCCCATTTTTTTTATTTTATTTCCATTTTTGATTAGTTTCACGTCCTACCTAGTATGGTTGTTAAAGATAAGTAAACAATACTTACAAGCTTTAAAATTTAATAGAAATTTCCAGCAAACTTGTAGAATCCATAGTCAACAGGAGTGTTTTAATCTGGCAGCTAGTTCTTAGGTCAAATAGATACTTATAGTTTGCATAGGATGTGTGCCGAACCCCTCATCTTCACGAAATTCTATGTATTGACTAATGATGGGTCCATACGCATTAAAAGAAAAGAAAAAAATAAAAAAGATGTCAGATAACCAAAACAACTTTTGGTCAGACTTGGTTTTGATATCAATTTGCAAATAATGCAAATTTTCAAGCTGCACTAACAAGTTGCAACGAGACAAGCCTTCTCATTGATTGAGCTTTATTCTTTAGACACACAAAAGAAGAGAAATCTCATAGACAGTGTGAGGTAGGAAATAGTTTCTGTGAGAAAAAAAGTAATGAGTGTGAGCGACATCGTAGTGAGGTGAGAATCTCAAAAGAGGGTTATTTCTTTTAAGTGTATAGTGGTCCCTAAAATATTTTATTTGAGACTATAAAGTGTAAAATTACTCATTATAGTAGATTATTTTGCTCCTCTCGGTTCTGCAGGTTTTTTCCTTATTCAAAAGAGTTATTCACATTAAAATCTTGGTGTTTTTGTTGTTCTTTTTGTTCTTGTTGATTACCGTATTTCGCTACTATGCTATTATTACTGTAAATATTATTTTTTATGGGGAGTTTATTCCCCACAATTAATATGTAATTAATCGAACACTATTTAAAAACAACTCTTATACTCATAAACAAACTGTTCCAAATGTTCATGAAAATTCTTGCTCATGTTGAACCATTTATATCTATATACAGCAGGATTCCAATTCATGGAATTCTCGATGTGAGAAATAAAAAATAAGAAATCCGAATATTTCTTCTGACTCTTTTTCAAATTCAAAAAATATTAGTTGGTCGAATATTTCATTATGGTATTCAAACATCTGAACCTACTCAAAGTTAGTGTTTGACGCGTGCAGCACAAATGCAATCATTAATTTGCATGAATCTGCTCCTATGGACATGGTCATCACGGTGGAGATTCATACAGGTATTTGCCGAAAGGCTTTTCCTTTTACTTACTTTGATGCCCTATTTTCTATAGTCAAAGGAAAGCATACTACGATGGATTAATCACCAAGGTGAGTGATAAGCTGCAATCGTGGAAAGGAAAATCACTTTCAATAAGAGGAAGGGCAATCTTGACCAAACATGTGTTGCAAAGCATCCCTATTCATTTGTTGTCTGCAGTAAATCTGCCAGATTATGTGATTGCTCATATACATCGTATGTTGCAAGGTTTTTCTGGACTAATTCATGTTGTGATATTTTCAAAATTGGACAAATATCTTTTTAATTGGCAATGAAGAAGTGAGTGTAGCAATTGCATAGAAAATTCAAGACAAGTGTTATAACTTGCCATCCTTCAAACCTCTCTTAAAGCCTATAAATAGGCATTCAACATAAGCATCAACCATCAGCAAATTTCCTTTGCTTTTTCGTTCTTCACTAGCTTCCCTTTGTTGTATTTCCTTTTGCAAAATTTAGTAGTCTATTTTCTATTGTTTCCCTTTTTTAAATAGTTGGGTTTGTAATTTAATATTTTGCTGATTCTTGTATCCTCTTAAGTAGAGGTAAGCTTGTTTAATCCTGGAGAAATATTTAACACTGCTGAAATAGTTTCTTAGGACAGTACCCAACATGACTCAAGTCAATTCGTGTATCTACTTATAACTAATTTATTGTAGTATTATTGTTATTTTCCTGTATTATTTCCCTATAACTCCACAGACGGAAAGGGTAGACATTTGGCAGCATGGATAAACTTATGTTTATCAAAAAAAGGAAGGAGGTGTGGGATTTCGGTCTATGTTTGATGTGTTCAAGGCCTTGTTTTGTAAACTGTGGTGGAACTTTAGAGCAACGGACATAAAAAAACTCTCTCGAAAGAATTTATGGTGGTTAAATACTGCAAGAAACATGGCCCAACGATGGTGCAATAGAAATATGGATTGCATGTGCGGCGAAAAATGTTACAATGTAGAGAGCTTATAGACCACCAAATTTGGTCGCAAGTAAAAGAAGGATCTTCTAATTTTTTGCATGATAATCGAACAGGTTTGGGGCCTCTATATGATGTCACACCATCAGATTTTTAGGGCAACGAAGATGTACAATATGTTCATGAATTTGCCGAGGAAAATGAGTGGAACTTGACCAAATTAAAGGACTATTTACCAGAGGATATTGTGCATGCAGCATATTGTGGAGAGGGTCAAACCTCCAGTGAGTGGTTCTGAAAAAGATTAATTATGGTGAATTTTGTTCAAGTTGTCTACATACTTTGTCCTAAATTAATTTACATCACATGCAATAATAATTCAAAATCATATAACGAACAAGCACGTGACATAAAAACGAAATTCAACATACTTCTAACATGTTTATCTTATATATTACATAAAATAATTCATACCAGAACATTATTATTATTTAATATCTCATAAACTAATAACAATTAAGATAACTATATAATATAATAACCCATTATAGATTACCGTCCTATCTTATATGAATTTTCAAATTCAAGTTAGGAACTATCTCAGTAGTTTAACTTATATGAATACATATTTTATTCAGAATAAAATAATATCAATCCATATGCATTTAAACAATTTGACTATTGCACAAGACATAAGGATAATGGTTTGAACTCTTCAAATAAATCTTAAAATATTTTGTAAATAAATTTTAGACACGAGAAACCATGGCTCTGTGTAATGGCCTAAATTTTCGTTCTAAGAATTAGCATTTTCGTTCAGCGGCTTAAGACCTTGAGAAGCTTTGTAATATGCATCATGACCCGCATGTATGGCCGAGTTTGGTTTTCGTAAGATTCGGAGTTAAATTTAAAAATAATAATAAAAAAATCTTATTTTTGAAGCTTAAATAGAAAGAGTTGACCGGAGAGTTGACTTTTGAGCAAACAACCCCAAATTGGAATTCTAATGATGTCAATAGCTCCGTATGGTGATTTCGGACTTAGACGTATATCTGAAATTGGATTTGGAAGTCCATAGGACAAATCGCCACGTTTTGGCGAAGTAAGAAAGTTGACGTGTTCTAATTTTATTATTTTATATGTGGAAGAGGTTTATTACTATGATGGATACCAATTGGATATGATAGCAAGTGTACAAGGTGTACTACAAGGTATATGGGGTCTAAGGAAAGTCCTAAGTCTAAGCCAAGTTGGGAAAATTTCATAATAGACTAAAGTTGCAAATGAGTACGCACAAGACCTCACTTTGGATGGGAATATCTACATATATATAAGAATTTGTATGATGCACAACCTATTAAATTAAAGCTCTATGAGTCTAGTTTCCAGAACATCAAACTATATGTCATTTGGAGGTGTATACAGAAAGTTATGACCATTTTACCAGACATGTGTCATATGCGCGCCCAGGTGCGCGACCACGCATATTCGAAAGTTTCTGCCTATGAGTGTGGCTGGAGCACGGTCTGAGTGCGACCGCGCTCGTAAAAAATCGCTATAATACCCCTGGATAGTGTATAAACCGAAGGGGTCCAACATTTCTTCCATTTTTGGTCATTCAAGCTCGGATTTGGGCGATTTCAAAATGTTTTTTTCACGATTTCGACTTGGGTAAGTGTTCTATATCCGGAAGTGATTACGTTTCATGAATCTATATCAATATTCATCCTTTATTTCGGATTTGGATGAAAGAAATTGTGGTTTTTGTAAAACTTTTCAAAAATGAAAATTTAGGATTTGAAGGTCCATTTGACATCGGAATTCGATAATTTTTGTATGGTTGAACTCGTATCGGAATGGGTTGTCGGATTTTATGAGTTTCGTCGAATTCCGATACGTGGGCCCCACGGGCAATTTTTGAGCTAAATTCGGATTTTAATCTGGAAAATTTGTAAATTCATATAGAATTAGTTCCTATCATTCGTGTTGAGTATTTTGAATTGGTTATGACTAGATTTGAGGATTTCGGGCACGAATTCGCGAGGCAAAGGCTTATTGGAAATTTTGAATTGGTTGCAAAGCGAGGTAAGTGTTTGGTCTAACCTTAGCTTGAGGGATTAGGAGTTGTGTCGTATTTTCTATGTGTTAATTGTTGAGTACGCCGTATAGTCATGGTGACGAGTATCTATACGTTAGTGTCAAGCATGCCCGTGAGTCTTATACTATGATTAATGTGATTCCGTTTCGTATTGTTTATGCTCTATATGATAATTTCTATTGAGGAATATAACTTGTGAAGGTATTATGGTTAATTGTTGAACATGGTAGAGCGTTGGCTCAAGTTGAGAATTGAGAATTGAATTGTTGAGCATTGGCTCAAATTAAGAATTGAATTGTTGAACATTTTAGAGCATTGGCTCAAGTTGTGAATCGAGTTGTGAAGTAAATGTGAAAAAGAGAAGAGGTTGATGATATTATCTCCCTTGTCGGGACGTTATTATTCATGATATTATTTTCCTTGTCGAGGTTTTTATTGTGATATTTTTTATTTTTTCTTGCCCAAATTGCTTTGTGATTGTTGCTTGGGTGAGGAAGAGTGATAAAGCACGAAGGGTGATGCCGTGCACATTTATATTATTCATATGGTGAGGAAAGAGTGATAAAGCACAAAGGGTAATGTCGTGCA